TATAATGTCAGAAAAACATTAAGAAACAAAATTTGTGAAACATATCATAAAATGAAGGCTGCTCTTGAAAAAAAATTGACAGAAGTAGAAGTAGTTGCAACTACCGCCGCAGATTTGTGGAGCAAAACAAAAAGGCTAGTAATATTACTTATATTTATATTTTTTTATTGTAATTTTTTCAAATTTTATAAATTAAAATCTAAATTTATAGGAGTTATTTAGGCATAACTATTCATTGGGTGAATCCCGTAACTTTCGAGAGAGAATCAGCTGCATTGGCTTGCCGTAGGATGAAAGGCAGACATACATACGATGTTTTAGCTCGAGCAATTAACTCAGTCTTTCTCGAGTATCATGTCCAAAATAAAGTGTGTTATGTAACTACCGATAGTGGATCCAACTTTGTTAAAGCTTTTGGTAAAGTTTGTTTCAAAGTATATTGTGTATATTTTTTACATTTTATATTTTAATTTTGGATATTCAAACGAATGTGGCATTCTTCATCTCGCTTACGTACTCCTTTTATCTTATTACATATAATCAAAACAAAAAATTAACTAAAACAATTAAAAATTAAGGTATAATAGCATATAATAATTAAAGTATAATAAAAATAAAAATATAATTAACAACACATAATTGACATATAAATATTTTAATATAATTCATGAGAGTAAAATTTTTTAATATTTTTTAGGAATTTTGTAAAAGACGAGGACGAAATGAAACATCTACTGCTATAGAATTTCACGATTTAAGTGATCTTTTAATTAAAGATGATATAGAAGATATGCAGAAGATTCGCTTATTCTTCCATCACATCATAGATGTGTGGAGTCACAATTTAAATCTTGTCGCTGTAAAAGATTCCGAGAAAGCTCTAGACAATGATGTTTCATATAAAAACACTATACAGATTGACATTTGCTAAATTTAACCAAAATATGGAGTAAACAAATCAATCTACACAAATATCTGACAAAATAAAGAAATTTTAGGTGTCTATTTAAAACTCCTGTTATTACCAGGTAAAAAAATTTATTATTGCGTTAGATTGTAAATATGAAACTTATTTGATCTTAGAATGATAATATGTACCTAATGATTTTTATCAGTGTCTAAAAATAATATTCGCAATGTTTATGTACAAGTCACGCAGTGGCTTATATGTATTCAATATTATTTTTTTCCATAGATATTCTCTCGACACAATAGTAAAAAACATTACAACTGTCTTCAATTTTATAACTAAATAAATTGCATATTTACTGTTTTTTTAATTTTAAATCATGTTTTCATTTAATTCTGCATATGAGTATATATAAATATTTTTTCAAATTATAAGTTTCTAATATACTTTCATCTTTTTTTATTTTGGTAGATGGAACTCTACTTTTGATTCTGTAATGCAACTAGCAACATTTTTAAAAAATGATCCCGACCAAATCAATCAATGCCTTGATCATTGTAATTTGCAACGATTGACTGAACATGAAATGAAATTCATAGAAGAATATTGTCAGGTATTTAGATAAATTTATAAGTTGTTAATATGAAACATAAATATATAAATATGTATACAGGGTGACCCATTTTAACTTAGGCAGCCAAATAACTCGAAAAATAAGCACACTACAAAAAAATGTTTAGAATCAAAATTTCGTCATTTCGAGGGGGACGTACAATGACGTTAACATCAGCCCCCTCACCTCTCCCCCTGGGCGGTGAGGGGGGCAAGTTTGAAATCTTAAATGGGAACCCCTATTTTTTATTGCATATTCGGATCTTTGGCTAAAAACACATACAATTTGTCTGAAACATTTTCTCGATTCATGATAGATGGCGCTGTAATCGACAAAATTCAATTTCAATTTCTTCGATTTCTCTTCTGAGAACCCATGCTTACGATTCTGCAATACATTAACAATAAAAATACCACGTTTTTCATTGTTAATACTTAGTTTTAAAGTCTTCAAACTCTCATTCTTTTTTTCTTTATATCTTTCTCATTAATTACTTCTCAAGAAATTGCTTTTAGCGTAACTTGCCTTTAGGCAACTTGAATGGTCCAAAGTACCGCACAAGAACGCCCAATTACCTGCGGCGAGTGCACACTCAGTGCGCACTCCATTTAGTGCCAAAGTCACAAGTGTTTATGTATTTTTTTAACATTTGTACTCTGATAAAATTCTGGTAAAATGGCAAATTATACTCCTACAGAAGTAGTCGATATTCTTATAACCTTTGGTGAATGTGGTAGAAATTACAGACTTACTGCCCGTACTTATGCGGAGCGATTCCCAAATTGCCGCCATCCTACTGATCAACAAATTATAAACATTGAAAGAAGATCTCGTAATAATCCACTTCATCGCGAAAGGCGAAGGAATAGACTTCATAATAATAATGACCCTAGATTGCTCGCAGTTTTGGCTATGGTTCATCAAAATCCCCATATTAGTACCCGTCAAATAGAACGAGAACTGGGAATCCCTCAAACTACGGCACATAGATTGTTACGATCAGTCAATTACCATCCGTATCATATTACTCTAGGTACAGGAATTAAGTGAGGCCGACTACGTACTCAGAGTACAATTTTGTAGATGGGCTCTTGAGATGTTAGATCAGAATCCAGATTTTTTTAGTAATATTTGTTTCAGTGATGAAGCAACATTCATCAGCAATGGTAGTCTCAATAGGCATAATTGCCACTATTGGTCACCAGAAAATCCACATTGTATCGTGAGGTGCTTAATCAACATCGTTGGAGTTTGTATGTATGGGTAGGCATTTGCAATGGCCAAGTTATTGGACCTCATTTTTTGAACGTCCAATTAATAGTCAATGTATTTAGACTTCCTCGAAAATGATTTGCCAGCATACCTAGAGAATGTTCCCCTTGCAGTTAGACTAAATTTATGGTATCAACAAGATGGTGCTCCTGCTCATTATGCTCGTCTTGTACGGATGTTTTTGAATCAAAGGTTCCCAAATCGGTGGATAGGGCGGGGTGGACCAGTTCTGTGGCCTCCGAGATTACCGGATTTGAACCCCCTTGATTTCTTTTTATGGGGATACGTTAAAGATGCAGTGTATAGTGAAGCTCCAACGACAAGATTGAATATGATGGAAAGAATAAGAAGAGCTTGTGAAGCTATAACTCCTTTAATGCTAGAAAATGTACAACGTAACTTTTGCTGTCGATTACTGTTATTCTTAGAAAATAATGGTGCACACTTTGAGCATCTCCTTCATGCGGAGAGAGCTGATAACAATGCAATCTTGCCTTAACTGGTTGGGTCACCACTCGACCTTGCCTTAACTGGTTGGGTCACCACACGACCTTATCTTCACTGACTGGGTCACTACATGACCTTGCCTTAACTGGTTGGGTCACCACTCGACCTTGCCTTCACTGGCTGGGTCACTACTTGACCTTGCCTTAACTGGTTGTGTCACCACTCGACCTTGCCTTTACTGGCTGGGTCACTACTTGACCTTGCCTTAACTGGTTGGGTTACCACTCGACCTTGCCTTCACTGGCTGGGTTACCACACGTTCAAGCACCCCGAATTGTGAGAGGCGAGGGGACTCACGTTAATCAAGCACCCCGAAGGGAATAGAAAACTGCTACGTCCACGTTGTTGTTCCTGGGTTACGCTAAAAGCAGTTTCTTGAGAAGTAATTAATAAGTAATAAAAAATAATGAGAAGTTTGTTTTAAGACTAATTTCGAGTATTAACAATGAAAACGTGGTATTTTTATTGTTAATGTATTGCAGAATCGTAAGCATGGGTTCTCAGGAAGAGAAATCGAAGAAATTGAATTTTGTCGATTACAGCGCCATCTATCATGAATCGAGAAAAATGTTTCAGACAAATTGTATGTTTTTTAGCCAAAGATTCCGAATATGCAATAAAAAATAGGGGTTCCCATTTAAGATTTCAAACTTGCCCCCCCTCACCGTCCAGGGGGAGAGGTGAAGGGGCTGATGTTAACGTCATTGTACGTCCCCCTCAAAATGACGAAATTTTGATTCTAAACATTTTTTTGTAGTGTGCTTATTTTTCGAGTTATTTGGCTGCCTAAGTTAAAATGGGTCACCCTGTATAAAGATTGTAATATGTATTTAATAACTATATAATAACGTGTATCTTTTTCTCGTTTTATTTCGTTTAGGTAATGAAACCTTTAGCACAATCTTTAGATATATTGCAAAGCGAGAAAGGGATGTATATGGGATACTTATTACCGATCTTAAAAACATTAAAAGAAAAATTAGAGAAACTTAATAAAAATGAAATTACGCATTGCCAATCATTAATCGCAGCTCTTCAACAAGGTTTAAATAAAAGGTAATTTGTTATTTTAATGAACATGTTATTTATTTAACGTATAAGACGGGCAACAAGAGCCAAATCGCGGATGACAATGCGTTATCCTAACGAAACTAAATAATTTTTCGTTAGAATTAAATACCGGTGCACAAGGCACCAAATTTTTACTTGGACACGGCCAAGATTTTAAATATGAAATAATCTCATATTTTGAGATTTAATTTCAATACCCCTTTAACCCCCCTACGGAAAATAAATAAATGAATGCAAGAGAAAAATATAGATCCGAAAATCGCTGAATCGGGAATCGAACCCGAGACCTTTCGCTTGCCGGGCGACTGCTCTTCCAGCTGAGCTATTCAGATCCTTTCGATTCCATACTTTTCTCTGTTATATATATTAATGTTGGTAAACAAACGCATTTTTAAGCCAGCGTGTATCAAATATAAGAGTTTTAACAAGGCTCTGTAATATAAATATAAATTTAACGTATAAGACGGGCAACAAGAGCCAAATCGCGGATGACAATGCGTTATCCTAACGAAACTAAATAATTTTTCGTTAGAATTAAATACCGGTGCACAAGGCACCAAATTTTTTTTTTTTTTTTTTTTTTTTTTTTTCATTTATTTATTTTCCGTAGGGGGTTAAAGGGGTATTGAAATTAAATCTCAAAATATGAGATTATTTCATATTTAAAATCTTGGCCGTGTCCAAGTAAAATTTGGTGCCTTGTGCACCGGTATTTAATTCTAACGAAAAATTATTTAGTTTCGTTAGGATAACGCATTGTCATCCGCGATTTGGCTCTTGTTGCCCGTCTTATACGTTAAATTTATATTTATATTACAGAGCCTTGTTAAAACTCATATTTGATACACGCTGGCTTAAAAAATGCGTTTGTTTACCAACATTAATATATATAACAGAGAAAAGTATGGAATCGAAAGGATCTGAATAGCTCAGCTGGAAGAGCAGTCGCCCGGCAAGCGAAAGGTCTCGGTTCGATTCCCGATTCAGCGATTTTCGGATCTATATTTTTCTCTTGCATTCATTTATTTATTTTCCGTAGGGGGGTTAAAGGGGTATTGAAATTAAATCTCAAAATATGAGATTATTTCATATTTAAAATCTTGGCCGTGTCCAAGTAAAAATTTGGTGCCTTGTGCACCGGTATTTAATTCTAACGAAAAATTATTTAGTTTCGTTAGGATAACGCATTGTCATCCGCGATTTGGCTCTTGTTGCCCGTCTTATACGTTAAATTTATATTTATATTACAGAGCCTTGTTAAAACTCTTATATTTGATACACGCTGGCTTAAAAAATGCGTTTGTTTACCAACATTAATATATATAACAGAGAAAAGTATGGAATCGAAAGGATCTGAATAGCTCAGCTGGAAGAGCAGTCGCCCGGCAAGCGAAAGGTCTCGGGTTCGATTCCCGATTCAGCGATTTTCGGATCTATATTTTTCTCTTGCATTCATTTATTTATTTTCCGTAGGGGGGTTAAAGGGGTATTGAAATTAAATCTCAAAATATGAGATTATTTCATATTTAAAATCTTGGCCGTGTCCAAGTAAAAATTTGGTGCCTTGTGCACCGGTATTTAATTCTAACGAAAAATTATTTAGTTTCGTTAGGATAACGCATTGTCATCCGCGATTTGGCTCTTGTTGCCCGTCTTATACGTTAAATTTATATTTATATTACAGAGCCTTGTTAAAACTCTTATATGTTATTTATTATTTTTAGAAAATAATATTCATTGATTCTGACTTCTGACTGTATAATTTTAGATTTTCCTCATTGTTTGAAAAAAAAGAACTTATTATTGCAAGTTGTTTGCATCCCAAATTTAAATTAAATTGGATACATGGAGAAGAAAAAAAACTCGCTAAAACTTATTTAGAAGACCTATTAGGAATTCGTTCCACCGAGAGTTCTCTAAACGATGAAAATCTCAACAACGATGACTTTTTTGCTTTTGACCAGCAAACAAAAGAAGTCGAGTCTACACAAGAAGAACTGTACCGATTCTTGAAATCAAGTAATTGCAATGTTAATATATTAAAAGATTACATTACAATTAAAAAACTTTTTATTAAATATAATACGGCACTTCCGAGCAGTGCATCTGTGGAACGAATGTTTAGCGTTGGTGGTTTAGTATTAACGCCTCAAAGAGCACATCTCAACGATGACACAATTGAGTATCAAATCCTCTTAAAAATTAATAAAAATTTTTATTAAAATTTTAAATATTAAATCGTTAATAAATTATAACATATTGGGTCTGTTTTTTGTTTTTTGTTCCTGAACTGCTGCACTAGTTCAGAGGTTGTCCTTTTCTTTCCAATGTCGAGCAAAAAAGATAACCTCTGAACTAGTGCAGCAGTTCAGGAACAAAAAACAGATTTTGTATCAATTTATATTAACAAGAATTATAATAAAAAAAAGTGTCAAGATATGAATTTATACAGGGTGTCCCAAAGCACCCTTAACAACACTCGTGAGGTGATAGAGGAGATCGAGATGAACAAAAAAGTCTTATACCATTTTGCTATATTTGCAATTATAAGCGAAATATTTAATGTTAAAGTCAGGCAAATAAGAGCCCGCTAAGGAAAGCGCTCGAGCCGCTCAAACTATAACACGGCCCAGTGTACCCGTTATAACGAATTAAGTTATTTAAAGTTAAATAAGAGCCCTTAGCGGGCTCTTATTTGCCTGAAATTAACATTAAATATTTCGCTTATAATTGCAAATATCGCAAATGGTATAAGACTTTTTTGTTCATCTTGATCTCCTCTATCACCTCACGAGCGTTGTTAAGGGTGCTTTGGGACACCCTGTATATATTAAAAAATGATCGTAAGAATTTAAAGTTTGAAATGAGTAAATAATTTTCATATAAAATGCTAAAAAAAGCACGTATGAAATTGTATTGCTTTTATATGAGTGGAATTTGTAAAGAAAGCTGTAATTTTTATGAATTAGAAAGAATACATTATAATTTTATTTTAGTTTATTTAGAAAATCTGCAATTCTTTTTACTAAGGCTATCTGATATTAAATGACGTAAGCGTATAAAATTATAAAGCATGAGAGAAAAGGAAGTTATTTAAAAGAGGATATAATTAAGGGAGATGGATAGGATGGATGGGATATAATTAAGAGGATATAATTAAGGGGAGGGGGATTTAAATTTATTATGAGATTTTGTAGGTAATTTCAATAATCCAAAGCAACGTAAATATTGTGCGTTTCTGTTTACTTTGACGAGACAATATAAAAGAAGGATACTAAACAAAGAAAGAGCTGTTTTCTAGTGTAGTTACTTAAATATTTCGCCGGGGTTACGATTTTCCGATTTCTCAATATCGATATTGTTACGTCCTCCGGACGTTCTTTCTCGCAAAAGACGTCTCTCGCACACACTCTCACTCACTCGCGGCTCGCGAAATAAATACACTCTCTTATGAAGAAATGATCCTTTATACAATGATGAAATACAATGACTAATGTACACGCGAAAGAAAGAAGATTGCTCTCTGGTCAAGTCACGTCCGTACGAGATGACAGCTAGACCAAAACTGTCATGGAGCCTGAAAACAACCACCGGGCGGTTGTCAATAAACAACCCCCCTTAACGATGAAGCTCCACGACACAAGGGATGATATTCAGGGGATGAAAGATCAGGGACGTAACACTGCCCCCCTTCTTCAAGATTGTCGTCCCGACAATCAAAAACAGAGGGCTATCCAACGCTGTACAATAACTCTGCATTCCGATGCCGACCTCAGGACTCCGACGAATTTTCTTGTTCTACCCTGGGCTCCTGCCACAGGTTACCAAACAATCCGCCATTCTGGATCCCGTCGCGCATCCGTTGGACTATATTCGCCAATCCAAGTCCACAGTACAACTGTATCAATTGTCGATTCCAGGGCACCGACGAGTCTTCCTGCCCTACCCTGGGCTGCTGCCGCAGGTTACCGAGCGACTCCGTCAATTTGGTCCCAATCGACTTTCAAAATTCCTTGAAGATAAGTCCCAGTCTCCCTTCGTCCTCCGGTTCAGACAAGGGGGGGGTATCTTCCGTGGACCCATCGTCCCTCATGGACTCCCCAAGTCCCTGTCTCGGCATTTGCCCAAAGTCCCGCGGGAAAACCACGGATCAAAAACCGCGGGCAAGACAGTCTTCTTAGAGTAGAATAAAGACGGATGAAGATTTTCTCCCTCGAAGACTAAGCTGGGAGATCAATTTTTCCGCCATTCAGGAAACTCTTCTCAGGTCAAAGACAAATTTCTTTCCAAATTGAAGACTCTGTAACGAAAAATAAAATGCGCAGTAACTTATTCTATTTTTTTAAATTAAAACATCCCCCCGAATTTTTAAATGAAAATCGACATTTTCGGGCTCCAATCTACTTAATTATTTTTCTAAACTTCTCTCGAGAAAAGGAGCTAATCTATCTGAATGTACAATTTTCCTCTTATGTCTAGACGATCTTTCTATGCAAAACACCACGTCACTAAGTTTTTTTACTATCCGGAATGGACCTTCCCAACTTCCTTGTAATTTCGGAGCTTTCCCTTTAACCCTACGAGGATTATAAAACCAAACCTTCTGTCCTACTTCGAAAAGAATTCCTCTGGCACTACGATCATAACGAATCTTCATCTGAGAAGATTTCAGATTCATTCGCTCTCTAACCGAAGAATGAATTTCTTTTAATTTCTCTTTTAGATTTCTAGTAAAATTTTTTCTTGGAAGTCTTCCTTCAGAAGATTCAGGATTTCCTCGTAAAAGATCCACTGGTAACCTTAGTTCCCTACCAAAATATAGCTCTGCCGGAGTCACGCCAGTGGTTTCATGCTTCGAAGATCTGTAAGCTAAAAGAAACATGGGAATCCATCGATCCCAGTCTTTTTGATCTTCCGATACGTATTTCGCTAGGAAATTTGAAATAGTCTGATGTTGGCGTTCTACTTGTCCGTTAGATTGAGGATGCAAGGCGGTAGTTCTGGTTTTTCTTATCCCGAGTAATTTCATTAATTCTGAAAAAAGTTGTGATTCAAAATTCTTCCCTTGATCAGTGTGAACTTCACTTGGAATTCCATGCCTTGAGATAAATTGATTAACAAAGACTTCAGCGACCATTTTAGCTCTGATATTTTTAATAGGAAAAGCCTCCACCCATTTAGTGAAGCAATCTACGATAACAAGCAAATATTTGTTTCCGGATCTTGTCAAAGGAAGAGGACCAAGTATGTCCATCTGTATTCTCTCTAATGGAGCTCCAACGTTAAAAATTTGTAGAGGAGATTTCCCTTTTCCTGAAGGACCTTTTTTTGAAACACAGATTTTACAGGTTTTGCACCATTCCTCAACATCTTGTTTGCAGGTTGCCCAGAAGAATCGTTTTCGAATTTTTCCTAGAGTCTTATTGGCTCCGAAATGTCCTCCTGTTGGAGAATCATGCGTCTCCTCTAATATTTCCTTTATTCGTACTCGAGGAACCACGAGTTGGAGAAAATTTGATTTTAAATTTGGAGCTTCCCATTTTTTATAGAGGATCCCATTTTTCACAATCAAAGAATCCCAATACGACCAATATATTAGAGTTGAAATGTCCTCTCCGACTATTTCTGAGCGTGGGGGACGAATTTTTGTTTCCTTGGCACGAAGAATAAATGAAATGTCAGGATCTTGTCGTTGCATTTCACGCCAATTTTCCAAATTTTCGCCTTCGAACACAATACGAGAAACTGTTTGTTCCCTCTCCTCTGAATTTTTCTTTTCCACTTTTGCACAATATTGACAATTGTTTGATTCACAAAGTCTTCTAGACAATCCGTCAGCATTATTGTGAGAAATCCCTTTACGATAGATAATCTCAAACTCGTATTGCTGTAATCTCTCCATCCATCGAGCTAATTGACCTTCCAAATCTCTGAAAGATAAAAGCCATCGTAACGAAACATGATCCGTACGGATTAAAAACTTTTGTCCCAAAAGATAATGACGAAAAAATTTTATAGAATCTACTATCGCTAAAAGTTCCCGGCGAGTAACGCAATAGTTCCGTTCGGCTTTATTAAGCACACGACTAAAATAAGCAATTACTTTCTCTTCTCCATCTTGTTTCTGAGACAACACTGCACCGATTCCTATATTCGACGCGTCGGTATCTAATAAAAATTCTCCCTTTTCCCTTGGAAAAGAAAGAATTGGAGAAGAACATAATAAAAACTTTAACTTTTCAAAAGCTTTTTGACATTCATCTCCCCATATGTATTTAATTTGACCTTCTGTCAACATGTAAAGGGGTTTAGCTAAGGAAGAGAATCCTTTAACAAATTTACGATAATAAGAACAAAATCCCAGAAAACTTCGTAATTGTTTTTTTGTGTGAGGTATTGGCCAATCTTTAACAACGGAAATCTTATCGGGATCTGTAACAACGCCCTCCGCGGAAACCACATGACCCAAATATTTTACAGTTTTACTAAATAACACACATTTCTTCGGATTTATTTTTAAATTTGCTTCTCTTAATCGTAAAAATACTGTTCTAAGATTGTTTATCATTTCAGTAAAACTTTTCCCAAAAATTATCACATCATCCAAATAAACAAGGCAAATTTTTGATAATAAATTTTGTAAGACCTTTTCCATAAGGCGTTCAAATGTTGCAGGGGCGTTACACAACCCAAAGGGCATAATTGTAAATTGCCAAAGTCCTTTTCCTATTGAAAAAGCCGTTTTCTCTTTGTCTTCGGGACGGATCTTAATTTGCCAATACCCACTTTTAAGATCAAGAGTGGAAAACCAAGAATTACCTGTTAGCTGATCAAGAATGTCATCAATTCGGGGAAGGGGATAAGAATCCTTAATAGTCACCTCGTTTAATTTTCTATAATCAACACAGAACCTTATAGAACCGTCCTTCTTTTTAACCATGACAGCAGGAGAAACCCATGGACTATGTGACTCCTCAATTACTCCACGTGAACTCATATCTTCCAAAATCTTATCGACT